GGGCTGCCATGGGGGGAGTGGGCACCGATGAAGCCCTTGAAGGGCGTATCTGGGTTCCCTGCACTCGGTGAAGTTACCAGGGACCAGTTGGTCTCTATGACCTCGAGCAGGCTCAGTCCCTCCCTGAGGCTCTGGGTCCCCACCTTCCAAGAGCCGGGTGGCTGGGGCCACCTCAGGGCCCCGCACAGGAAAGGTCCTAGGTACGTGGGCTGGGCAGTCGGGACCCCAGCCAACCACCAGAGCACAGGATGGAGCCAGGGCAGGTCACTCACCTGTCGGGTCCGTGCCTCGGTTTATTCACCCACCAAATAGCGCTGGTGTGGCCCTTGGGATCTGAGGAGTACCAGCTCATTCCCTCCATCAGCAGGTGTCTGCTGAGTGCCTGCTAAATTCCGAGCGCTGTTGCATGTGCCGGGACAAAGCCACAAAACAGAGACAGGAAGTTTTGCCCTCCCAGAGCTTAGGGGGTGGCAGGGGGACAGATAACTAAGATACATAGTGTATTGGAAGGTGGAAAGTGCTGGAGACTGAAAGGACTAAGGGAGATGGGGAGCCTCCAGGGGAGGCCTCAGCGAGAAGATGAGAGTCACCGTGTGTAAAACATTCACAACGATGCCTGCCACGCGTCGGGTCCCCAGAGCTGGTCGTTAAATCCTCGGTGGGGCTGGTGCAATTTGTGCTGGGACTGCAGGCAAGCCACTTACTTCTGGCACTCAGTTTCCTTATTCAGGAACCAAATAGGATCAGCTGTTCTCCAACGGTGGTGTTTTTAAAGTCTACTGGGGAACTTGCTAAAAATTCAGATGCCCAGATCCTCCCCTCTTCCCCCACCCCCCGGCCCACAGAGTCAGAATCTCCCAAGGTGGGGGAGATTTGGGGGCTGGCAAACTGTCCACATGTTTGCCCAGAGCCCAAGGACCACTGGGAAGGGCCTGTGGGCCCCTGACATTTCATGATTCCTTCACTGGGAGCTGGGGGAGCTGGGTGGGGGGCATTGTTAGGGCCCAGGCCCGTCTCCCCACCCCATCCCATCTCCCTCACCTGCCCAGGGCCTGGAGATTGTGAACCCACAAGCAGCGGAGAAGAAGGTAGCTGAGGCCAACCAGAAGTATTTCTCCAGCATGGCCGAGTTCCTCAAGGTCAAGGGTGAGAAGAGCGGCATCATGTCCACCTGAGGGGCGGTGCCCTGGGCCTTCTCCCGCTGAAGGGACACAGAGGCCCCACCTCTCTGAAGGGATCAGGGTCAGGATGGGGCTGGGAGGTTCCGGCAAGGAGAGCCGCCCCGTGCCGGCCGGTGCTGGGACTGTCCGGCGAGGCACGGGAGAAGGCCCGGCCCCGGAGCACAGAGATCACCGCCCCACTCACACACACAGCCAGCCTTCATCACGCGTCTTTTTTATTTTAACCGAGAAAGGAAATACCTTTGGAATAAGTGCAATTAAAAGCACGTTATCAGGATCTGTCCTTGGCGAGTGATCGTTTGTCGAACACACGGGCGATTTGAGGAGCTACGGGGTTTGGGGAGCTTGGGCTCCCTGGAATCTGGATCCAACCCCGGGCCTGTCACTTCCTCATCGTGCAGTCCCGGGAAGAGAAGAGCCCTCTCCATCTCCAGGCCCCTTAGAGAACCCCGGTCACTCTGACGCCCCAGCTTTCAATGCAGGCCGCCCTGGGTGGTCGTGGCATCTCATGCAGTTGGCCTCTGCCGCCTTCCAAGCCTCCACACTTCAACCACCAGGCGCACCTGTGAGGACCTAAAAGATGGCCAGGAAGCACTTAGCACTGGGCTCACCGTCAGGGCCCCACGACCGGGCACTTTTGTTATTCTGTCCAGTGTTTGCTGAAGACTCCCCCTCCCACCCTGGTGTGCCAAGCCCCGGCAGGGTGGAGCAGACAGGTGCCCAGCCCTGGCAGGGACTCAGTGCTATGAAAGTTCCTGCCTGGTAAAGAGAGCGCCGTGCCGCCAGCTCCCATGCTGGGAGATGGGCTTCACAGCTGCTCACTTACCTGAATGGTCAGCACTTCTCTTAATTACCCAGGAGGACCAGCCTCGGGGGAGTGATGCTACGGGGTCTCTTTCTGGCTCACTGGGTCCTATCTGAGATCTCTCTCTTTCTGTTCCTCTCTCTGGGACTCCCCCATCACCACTAGGGGCTCTGTGTGTGTCTCCGGTCCCCAGTCCCTCCCTCAGCCCAGGGCTCTGTCTCTGGACCTCAGAGGCCCTCACTGAATCTCTCCCCTCCCTCACATGAAAGAGTCTGCACACCGGGGAGGTTCTTTCCAAAGGCCAGATTACTCCAGGTCACATAACTGTTTCCCCAGATTTATCCCTGAACTTTAGATCAGCCTTGCTTAAAAGTGATGACCTTTGCTGATCTCTGTCTCTGGGGGTGCCAGGGAAGGGCCATCTGTCCAAAACTCTTCAGAGTCCCCATCTCCCCTGGCCAGACTGAATCGAACAGTGGAGTGGGCAAGGAGGTGTGAAGAATCTCAAGAAGGAATCTGAGTCACCTGGCCCTGCAGTCCCGAATACTCTTAGAGTTTCTCCAAGTTTCATATGCCTCAGAATTGCCTGGAAGGACTGTTAAAACGGGTTACAGGGCCCAGGTTTCTGATTCAGTTGGTCTACGGTGGGGCTCAAAAATGTGACTTTCTAAAAACTTCGCAGGTGGTGTTTATGCTGCTGATGCAGGGACCACACTTTGACAACCACTGCTCTAGAAAATCCTCTTAGCAGATTAATGGCATGTTGGAATCATCGTAGGAATTTGCATTACTAATGTCTGGTTCCCATCCTGAGAAACCCTTATTTAATCAGTCTAGGGCAAGGCCTGGGTATCTGGATTTTTTTTAAGCCCCCATGTGATTCTTACATGCAGTCAAATTTGAGAACCACTGCTCTGGACCCTTGCTACTCAAAGTGTGGACTGGCAGCACTGCCTGGTAATCTGTTAGAAAAGCAGGATCTGGGACCTCCTGAGTCAGAATCTGCATTTGACAAATCCCCAGGTGATTCCTGAGAAACCTCAAACGCCCTGCTCCATCCAGGGACCACACTTTGTTGTTTTTGTTTGTTTGTTTGTTTTAGGTGAAGTATAGTTGATTTACAACAGGGACCATACTTTAAATAACAAGGGTCTTCTGGATCAATATTTCTTAAACTCTAACGAGGGACTTCCCTGGTGGTGCAGTGGTTAAGACCCCACACTCCCAATGCAGGGGGCCTGAGTTTGATCCCTTGTCAGGGAACTAGATCCCACGTGCATGCCACAACTAAGAGTTCACATGCCACAACTCAGCAGCTGGCGAGCCGCAACTAAGGAGACCGCCTGCCGCAACTAAGACCTGGCGCAACCAAATAAATAAATAAATATTTAAAAAAAACAAAAGACCTCTAATGATCACCCAGGAAGTTTGTAAAAATACAGATCCCTAGGCTTCACTTCCCAGATATGTGTGGGCCTAAGAGCACTGCGTTTTTACAAGCATTGCCTGCCTTGCCACAGGCGATTCTGATGCAGTTCTCACTTGCATTTCCCTTGGATTTATCTTACTTTCCTCCACCTAGAGGAGATGGGCAGAAATGACTTCATCTTGACTGTGTGACCCAGGGCAAATGCCTCCTGGTTTGCCAGAGCACCAGTGCCTAGCAAGTTTTAACCACAAGTCATTCCCCGTGTTCATCCAGGTGCTCATTCGGCAAACGGTTACTGAGTGCTTCTTGCTGCTAAGCGCTGGGGATGCAAAAATCCGGAGGGGGAGATGCAAATAATTAAGAAAATGACAGTATACGTGCAAAAGTAAATCCGAATGAACAGGGCTCACGTGAGCACTCAGCACGGGAGGTCAGGGAAGTTTTCCCGCTAGAAAAGACCACTGAGCTGAGATCTGAAGGACCAGTAGGTGTTAGGAGGCAGCCGTGGGAGGGGAACAGGGACTCTCATCTGTACCTTCTGCGGCGTCCTCACAACACCAGGGAAATGGAGGTGCAGAGGAGAATTACTGTCCCACGGTCATGTAACCACACAGAAGCAGGACAAATACTCCATGCCTCCATGGCGCTTCCCAACCAATTCAGCTATGCGTGATGCCAGTGACTTGGGGCATCGTCTCCTGCTTCCTTCCTTTTCTCCCTTCCTCTGTGTCTCAAAGATATGCCAAATACAGGCACTTGAAGACTGTGCAGCTCACAGACAGGGACCGGCCTGCCCGGCCAGTACCCAAGGGAGGTGGAAGGATGCTCCCAGGTTCCAAGCCAGCCTGCTACGCCCCGTTTCACACGCCTTAGGAGCGGTTACCGCCCACTCGCCAAACTATTGGACACTCTGGGAGGAACGATAACACAGCCAACGAAGAAGAGGGGTGGACCCTCTTTCCCGGCTCCTCCCTACCAGCCCAGGGGCTGTCTTCATTGGCAGATGACTTCAGCCCGGCCCCCGCTTTGAAGGCACCTGTCTTTCTCCCATTAGGTACGCGGCCTCTATCGCCCAGTCTCCATGCCTTCCTCCGCTTTCCCCACCCACTTCCTGGACCAGCCAATGACTTCAGGGCAGAATGTCCCCCCACGGCCAATTGAAAACGGCTCCAAACTTGACGGACGACTTCCCGCCCCTGATCAGCCTAGCTCCTCCCTCCGACCAATTGGCTTAAGAGAAGGGGGCGGGTGTATCCAATCAGCACGACACAGGTCTCTGGATTGACGCACGAGTCCTCGCGCTGGCGTGTTGTGCCCCGAGGCGGGAGGAGGCGGAGGAGCGGGGAAGAAAACCTGAGCCAATCCTAGCAGCCCGCGCAGGAGGCCAATCGAACGCCGCGCCTTGGAGAGATTGCCCAATCGGAGAGAGGGGGCCGGCCGCATCCCCACCAAGAACCAATAGAGCGCGTCCGAGGGGCAAGAGCGACGTGCGCCCGGAGCAATGACAGGCCTATATTCGGGGCTCGGGGGCGGGTCGGCGCCAGAGACGAGAAGAGAGGAGGGGAGGCCTCCTCCGCCGCCGCCATCTTGGACCGGGCCCGGTCAGCTTCCGCGGAGCCATCGGCAGACGCCGCGGCCTCCCTTGAGCCCCGACCCCCGTCGTCAGAACAACCCCGGGCCCACTTCCCCCCACCCCACTTCCGCTTCGCGCCGCTATCGCGATAGCGCCTGGGCCCGGGGCGCGAGAAAAAGGCGGCGGGCGCTCGCCTCCCCCGCCTGTCGCGATACGCTCCTCAGCGGCGGCGCCAGCTCCTGTGGTGAGAGCGTCAGGCTCGACTGGGCCGGACCCATTCCCCTCCTCCCCCGGCGCCGTCGGCCGCCTTCCCCGCCGCCTCCCGCCCCTGCGACCCCGCCGCCTGTCGCGATATGGCCGCCCCCGGCGCGGCGCCCCCGCCACCGCGCGGCCCCGGCGCTCGCCGTCGGCCCGGCGGTGCGCGGCTCCCCCGCCCCCGCTCCCTCCTGCACGCCCCTCGGCGGCGCCCGGGGGTCCTCCCGCGACCCCGGCCCCGCGTGGCGTCCGCGTCGAGCCCCCGTGGGGTGTGAGGGTGCGAGGTGCCCGCCCCTCTCCGCGTCGGGAGGAGCTGGAAGGATGGAGGCGCCTTGGCCGCAGGTGCCCGCCCTCTCGGGGCTCAGGTGCCTGCCCCCCTCGGCAGCAGCCCCTGTGCTGGGGAGCGGTCTCCGGGCGAGGCTGCCCCGTCCGCGTGGGTGTGGGGCTGCGAGTCCCCTAGTTGAGGACCCCCGTGGCGAGAGGGGGTCAGCCTTCCCGGGGCCAGCGCTCCTCTCTCCGCTCCCCTCCCACCGTGGGCGCCACTCTCCTCTTTGGGGATGGGGTGGGGGATGAACTCCCCTGGAGTGAAGATGCCACCTCCAGGAGTTGGAGCCTCAGTCCAAGTTTACGCCTCTGTAGTGAAAAGTTCCCCAGGTTTAAGGCTTCCACATCCCACAGCCCAGGCCTTACCCCTTGGAGAGTCAGGATTGTCCTCGGCGTTACCCGCTCAGGCCTCCGCTCTTCTTGGGTCTGGGTATCGGTCTCTGGCTTGTTGGATGTGAGCTCTGGCTTGTTGGTTGTGAGCTCTGCCTGGATCCAGACTCTGCCCACCTCCCTCCCGGTGTGGGCTTCCTCTCGATGTCACTCCCGCCTCGGGGTCCTTTTGGTGGGGCTCTTGAGCTCCCCTGGGTCTCAGGTACCTGGTTCTCTCTTGGTGGCACCTCCCAGGTTCCTGCTTTCTCCACGTTGTTAATGATCTCCTGTTGTGGGCAGCGCCAGCACCCCTGTGTCTAAGCAGGACCTGCCTGTTAGCTCAGGGGCTGTCACCTCCCCCGAGGTTGATGCTCCTGTCCTTTCGGTACTATTTTTTTTGACACCTTCCGCCACTGCCCTCAGCGTGTAGGCTGTCGCTTCCCTCAGTCTGAGGCTTCTATCTGCATTCACATCAGTTCCTCCACTGGGGTATCATCTTTCCAGGGGTCAAGGATCCCACCCCCTCGGTGCTCCTCTAGGGCTCCTCATTGTGGGTGTGTGAGCTTCCCGGCACTAAAGAACCCTCTTGGTGTAACAGTCGTAGAACCAGGGCTCATCCCTACCCATGCCCACCCTGCTAGAACCCCCTAGGAGTGTAAGACTTCTTAGATCTGAGGATCTTGTACTGTGAGGTGTGGGGTTTTGGGGCTGGAGTGGTGCCTTTTTCCAGGACAAGGAGCCTCTCAGTGTTGCCTCCAGGGGTAAGGTTCCTGCCTGTATTGGCCACTCTTGGATTTGAGGTGTCTCTGCCTTTCTGTGTGTCCCCTCCTGTGGGACTAAGGACCCTCTCAGGTGTTGGTGCCCAGGGCTAATGCTTCAGCCCCTGCTTGTGATGTCCCACTGGGTGGGACTAGGCTTCTGCCCTCTCCTGAGGCACAGGTTCCTTGACGTGGGGGTGTGAGATCCCCGAGACTTGAGGGGGCGACCCCACTGTTGTCACCTTCCCCAGGACTAAAGATTCCTCTGGTGTAACCTTTCCAAGGTGGGATTTCCAGTCCCCCACCCTTGGTACTGGGCCTCGCAGTGGGGAGATAACTCCCTCCGCCCCAGGACCTAATACATCCACCTTCCGGCCTCTCAGATCTCTGTGTGACAGTGTCAGCAGCCTCCCAAGTTCAGGATGGCCTTCCAGCATCACTTTCCAGCAGGCCCGATCTCCTCTCCCCACAGTACACGGCTGCTGTGTATCGGCACGTGACAGCCCCAGGATCGGGGACCGCTTGGCTTGGTTCCCCAGGACTAAGCTTTCTGCTCCTCCTGCCCCACTCCTCACCAGGCTGCTCCGTGTGGCAGTGTCATCTCCCCTGAGGTGCTGTTGGGGGCTCTTTGTTACTTTCAGCCCCTCACTTTATGGTGTTGGCTCTTGTGGGTCTGGCACACGGCTCACCCTACCCACCCGCTCAGTGTAGGCTCCTTACTCGTGGGGATGTGCCTTCTTGGACAGAGTCTTTTGGTTAAGTCTCCGGGGCCAAGGTTCCCAGATTCCTCGGTGCCGTTTGAGACTCCACGCGGTGAGGACACCAGGTCCTCTCCCTGAGATGCCTGCCTGTCTCAGAGTGGGCCTGCCATGGTTACCTTCCCTGGAGCATCTTGGTGGACCCTCCCAGAGTGCTGGGGCTCCCAGCCCTCTAAGCACGGGACTCTTCTGTGGGGGCATCTCAGGCCCCAGCTTCGTTTCTGGTCCTTTGCTGGGGATCTAAGGTACAGGCACCCTCTTGCTGTGGGGTTTTTCTGTGGAGAGCCCGGCGTACTTGCCCTTCTCTGGAGGAGCTGCCTTCCTCCGGGCAGGTCTCCCGGTCTCAGCTGTTGCCCACTTTGAGGTTCTGTCTGAAACCCCACTCCCCCGGCTGGGGCTCTTGTTCCCTTGGCACCTTGCTTCCAACTCCTTCAGGACTTCCTGCTGCCACCGTCTGTTGCCCCCTCTGGAGGGTATCAACTCCGCAGCTGGGCTGGGTGTCCCAGCCCACTCAGTGTGGGGACCTGGAGAAAGCCTCCCCTCCCTAAAGCGTGCAGTGCCTTGTTTAGGGGTGTAAACTGGGCGTCCTGTCCCTTTGGGCTGGACCACCCGGCCGTGCCCCAGCATTGGGCTCCTGGGACAGAGGCCGGGAGTATAAGTGCCTGTCTAAGCTTCCTGTACCCACCCCACACCCCTGGGCAGTAAGAGGCTTTTCAGCGTTGGGGTGTTGGAGCGAAAACTCTCTCCTGCACACCACAATGTTGGGGTCCAGGCCCTTGTGTGAGCTCCCAGGTCAAAGGCGCTTGCCCTACCTCAGTTTGAGTCCCTTCTGTGCAGCTCTTTCCTGAATCCTTTTTCTGGTGGCTTCGCCTTCCTGGAGCTGGAATTTCCCGTGTTGGGATTGGGCCTCACCTTGGCATGTCAGCCAGCCCTGGGCCAAGGGTGCTGCCATTCCTCTTGCTTGCTCCTTTACGGGGGAGATCCACGCTCCCCCAAGTCAAAGGTCTGCCGTCATGCAAGTGGGTCCCTGTGGAGGACACTGCTCTGAGGTTGAGGGCCAGCCCCGTCACGTGGGCTTCTGGTTCTAAGGCGTGCTCTCTGATACCCTGTGCCACCGGTAGTTGCTAGCCACGTGTGATTTAAATTTTAACTAGTTAGCAGAAAAATTTTTCATTCCATTCTGTGTTGCACTAGCCACGTTTGGAGCTGTCGAGCGTTCAGTGGCACAGATACAGAACGTTTCTGTCACTGTGGAAGGTTCTGTTGGGCCAGACTCTTCTTTGCGTTCCCTTCCCAGTGGGTGGGGGCCCTCTTGCTGTGACTTCCCTCTGGGTTAAGGCTCTGAGTCCTCCGTGTAGGGCTCTTTCTGCCTGGGCAGTTGGGGCTGCTCTGGGGCACCCTGCCTTAGGCCTGTAGAGTGGGCACTCCCCAGGTCTCAGGAAGCCATGCTTTTCAGTAGAGGCCCCCTCGCTGGGAGCGGGGACCTCCTGCAGCACAGGCATAGCTCTTCCTCCCCAAGGCTCCCCATCTCTCCTGGTCTTGGTGTCGGGCCCTGCCGAAAGCTTCTGGTGACTCCCCTGTGACCTCAGTCCCCTCTGGGTTGCATGTAACTTCCTTTAGGATGGAGGTGCCAGTGTCTGTAAGTATTGGGTGCTTGTCTGAGGGTTTATGTTTCCCTGAGTCTACATTACCAGTAGTGCACTTGACATGTAATTCCTTCGTGTGTGCCGATAGCTCCCTCCCAGTTCAGGTTCCCTTTCATCCTCTCATCTTCGTAAGAGTTCTCTCTTCTCCTGCTCTTCTCTCGAGTGATGCTTTCTGCCCCCAAACCTGTAACCCTTTTTGGTATTACCCTCTTTGGGTTAGGAGTATTATCTCCTTTGGTTTAAGGATCCTTCTCTGGAATAAACTTGTCAGAGGTCTAAAGCCCTCTTCTACTTGGGATCCAGCCATGTCTGTGTGGGTGGGTTTAGCTTTCACAGTTGTAGGCATCTTCTGTGTCCCCCCACTGCACTTCCCCTTTGTTCCTTACAACTGATACACATATAAATGGTATCGTGCCCTTCTCCATGGGGTGCAAAATTCTTTGTCTCCTGACTTGTCTGAGGAGTAACCTCTCCCTGTGTTAGGATTCTGGTCACCTGTGTGCTTGACTTCTCTATGGGAATTGTGGTCTCCAGGTCTAAGGCCTTTGTCCCTAGCAGGCAGCTGTGTGCTGCATGACATTTTCCTGCTCTAAAAAATCCTTTTGAGTATCATCTGGGGAGAAAGTGCTCCATGCTCTAGGAGTTTTCCACTTCCTGGGTCAGAGGCACACAAAAAGTATATCTTATTTGTTTATTTATGTATTTATTTATTTTTGGCCGTGTGGGGTCTTCCTTGCTGCGCGCGGGCTTTTTCTCTAGTTGTGGCGAGCAGGGGTTACTTTTCAGTGCGCGGGCTTCTCACTGCGGTGGCTTCTCTTGTTGCGGAGCACGGGCTCTAGGCACGTGGGCTCTAGAGTGCAGGCTCAGTAGTTGTGGCGCACGGGCTTAGTTGCTCTGCGGCATGTGGGATCTTCCTGGACCAGGACTCAAACCCGTGTCCCCTGCATTGGCAGACGGCTTCTCAACCACTGTGCCACCAGGGGAGTCCCAAAAAGTATATCTATTTCCTTCTTTCAGCAAACTTCCAGAGTCCTTTTCTGGACCAGACCCTGTGCTGGGCAGTCAAGGCAGCAAAAGGAGAACTGGGCCCAGTCTCTGTCATCAGATAGTAAATGCATCTTCCCCTTTCCATCCCATGCACCCTATTCCCAACCTCGTTCGTGTCTCTGGGTTTGGACCAGCCAGGGAGTAAATGTGTATTCCTTCCCAATCTCTCCCAGCAGCGTCCTTCTCCAAGAGAGTATGAAGAGAGTGCGTCTGTAGGGCAGGGAAGATGGCGGACAAGCGCAAACTCCAAGGTACTAGGTCCACTGCCTGCTGCCTGTGTGGCCACGTGCTCACTCTCCTCGGAGCTCCTCTTTGGATCCCTGCTGCCTTGGCAGGATGCTAACAGCCTGCCTTCCTCCCTGGCCAGGTGAGATTGATCGCTGCCTCAAGAAGGTGTCCGAGGGCGTGGAGCAGTTTGAAGATATTTGGCAGAAGGTACAGGGGCTGGCCTCTAAAAATCTGGGTGGGTCTCTAGGGAGGAGAGAACAGGACAAAGTTGAGTTCCTGAGTGTCAACCAGGGAGAGGGCCTGCATGTCCAGGTGCCAAGGACCTCAGAGAAGCAGCTCTGAGATGGATTGGTCCTGGGGGGGTTGTCCCCAGAGTCCCCAGCCCGCAGAGAGAGACTGGAGTTTTACCACTGGAGTGGGCAGTAGGGCAGCCAGCACCACACAAACTCCTGGATTCTCTCCATCCCTCAGCTCCACAATGCAGCCAACGCGAACCAGAAAGAAAAGTATGAGGCTGATCTAAAGAAGGAGATTAAGAAGCTTCAAGTGAGGGGGCTGGGGGCCCGGACTCCTGTGTCCTGAGGGCGGGGGGAACAGGGAGAGGAGGGGGCGGGGGCCTTGGCGCCCGGGTCCTGAGTGTCCTGCTGTTCCCACCTCCAGCGACTGAGGGACCAGATCAAGACTTGGGTAGCATCCAATGAGATCAAGGACAAGAGGCAGCTTATAGACAACCGCAAGCTCATTGAGACGGTAGGAGCCCAGAGTCTGCTACCCGAGAGGGGTGGGGGGGGGGGGTCGGATTCCTGGGTCCCCAGAGGTCCTGAGAAGAGTGAGGTCTCTGTACCTGGGGAAGGTGGGAGGCAAAGGGCTGGGAACCTGAGAGTGGGGCTCCGGTTTGAGTGTCCACTGGCCCTGAGTCAGCTGCTCTCCCACCTTCGGGATCCCCCTTCCAACTGTGCTCTCCACAGCAAATGGAACGGTTCAAAGTTGTGGAGCGAGAGACCAAGACCAAAGCCTATAGCAAGGAGGGCCTGGGCCTGGCACAGAAGGTGGACCCTGCCCAGAAGGAAAAGGAGGAGGTCGGCCAGTGGCTCACGGTGAGTCAGGGTGGAGGAGGAGGTGACCTGGGGCCCGGACCCTGGCTGTATGAGAGGACTCTGGCTGACCACTTGTCTTTCCCCTCCCACCCCCAGAATACCATCGACACCCTAAACATGCAGGTGGACCAGTTTGAGAGTGAAGTGGAGTCACTGTCGGTGCAAACACGCAAGAAGAAGGGCGACAAGGATGTGAGTGGGGGGCCCCTGTGCCCAGAGGACAGAGATGGGCTGGCGATCAGGAGAGGCCAGCTCTCCGGGCTGCGGGAGTCGGGGCCTGGGCTCCTGAGGCAGACAGGGCTGGCAGCTGGGATTAGGGGGTCAAGGGGTGGGATGGGGAGGGCTTAGCAGCTGACTGGAGGGTGGGGCGTGCAGGGAACAGATGAGGCAGACTCCAGGGTCCCACCTGGGTGTCTGGGTAAACATTGGAGCCGACAAGAAGAGGAGCCCTTTGGGGGAAGATGCTGAGCTCTGCTTGGGTCGCAGAGTAAGTGTGAGACCCGAGGGCCGCCCAGGGCGGGTAGGTTGAGGAGCTGCGGCTGCGGCCTCACAGCACCTAGAGGGCCCGGGTCCTAAGGAGAGGACAGCAGGTGTGGACAAGGCGGGGCATGGAGGAGCGGCTCATTGAGCCTGAGGAGAAGAGTGGTCTGAGACAAAGCCAGGGCTCAGGACCCAGATTGCAGAAAGCCAGGGTTGTAGGGTCCGAGTTCCTAGGGCTGCAGACTCTCTCTGCGTATTGACCCAGGAAGTACGGGGGACAGAGAACTGGCTCCTCGGGAAGCTGGGTGCGGCGGTGTGCCAGAGTTGGGTGTCTGAGACTGAGGGGTCTGGAACCGTGGGCTTGGAGGGAGGTCCTTGCAGGCAGGAGGGATTTGGAACTGGGGCTAGGATGTCAAATCCTAAAGGGAGTGGGGCCTTGGGAGGGAGCCTAGGAGACAGGCCTCTGAATCTGGGCTTCCTCTTAGGGACACGTGGTTGGGGGTGGGGGTCATGGTGGTGACAGATGCTCAGAGTTGTAAACAACAAGCTTCCCCCAAACGGGGATTGCCATTATTACTGTTAGCAAGACAAGGGCGGCTGTGCTCCTGTATTCCAGAAGGTGGTCGGAGCTTGTGGGTGGGCTGGACGGTCAGGCGGGGTGCAGATCGGGCAACGTTGTAGGGGAGACGCCGGGATCCCTGGCTCCTTCAGCAGTTTCCAGGGATGTCGGGGTGGGAGGAGCCGCGGGATCCCTGAGGGGTCAAGGCGGGCAGACCCCGGAGGGGCTGGAGTGGGGCCTCTGGGTCTCCACCAGGGTCAGGGACTGAGGACGGGTTCTGTGGGGGCAGGAGGGGCAGGGCAGGCCCTGCAGCCCCTGAGCCTGGCCCTGGGCTCGCCAGCAGAAGCAGGACCGGATCGAGGGCCTGAAGCGGCATATCGAGAAGCACCGCTATCACGTGCGCATGCTGGAGACCATCCTGCGCATGCTGGACAACGACTCGATCCTCGTGGACGCCATCCGCAAGATCAAGGACGACGTCGAGTACTACGTGGACTCGTCCCAGGACCCCGACTTCGAGGAGAACGAGTTCCTCTACGATGACCTGGACCTCGAGGACATTCGTGAGGCCTGGGCTTGGCCTGCGGGTGAAGGGCGGTGGAGGCCTGGGGGAAGGCGTCCCCACCAGCTCACACAGCCTCCACGCCCCCACAGCACAGGCGCTGGTCGCCACCTCCCCGCCCAGCCACAGTCACATGGAGGATGAGATCTTCAACCAGTCAAGCAGCACGCCCACTTCGACCACCTCCAGCTCGCCCATCCCGCCCAGCCCGGCCAACTGCACCACGGTGAGGCCTGTGGGTCTGAGTCTCCACGGAGGGCACAGGGGCCGGGGGCTGAGGAAATGTCCTGCAGGAGGGGAACCTCGGTATCCAGGGTCTGGGCCCCAAGGGCTGTAGATTGCCAGTAGGGCGGTTAGGGCCACACGTGGGTCCTGGGTGTGGAGGAGGGAGGCTGGTGCCTGGGGTGCCGAGGAGCCTGGGCACTGGACACCTGGGAAGGGATGGAGGGTTGGATACTCGAAGGAGAGCGGGTTCCTGGACCCTTAAGAGCCTGGCACGTGGTGCTGGCCCCCAGAAGACAAGCACCCTAAGGGGCAGGGTTTAGGTAGGTTCCCAGTGAGATGAAGGTCATAGGGGCTTGAACAGCTCTGGGGCTGGAAGGTAGGTCAGCTGGGTTCAGATCCGGGGGTTCGGAGATTGGTGTCTCTGTCGGGTCCCTAGAGACACACAGGTTTCTGACTGTACCTCTCAAACCTCAGGAAAACTCTGAAGATGACAAGAAGAGGGGACGCTCGACGGATAGTGAAATCAGCCAGGTGGGTCCGATGGGCGTCGGACGTTGATGGGCCCAGCACTCGCTCATTCACTGGTTTCCAGAGGCTTACTGAGGCCTGAGTATGGCCCCCATGCTGGGCTTTGGGGACGCGGTGGGTCAGGCTGCCCTGAGGAAGGCCTGCAGTACTGATGGGCAGGCAGACAGGTGCGTGGCTGGTGCTGTGATTGGGAGATGCTTCTTGGGAAGGCGTCTGCCCTGGGCATTAGAGGAAGATACATTCCCATGTGGGGCAGCAGCAGGAGACATAGGCCAGTCGTGGTGGACGTGGAAGTGTGGAGAGGTGAGCCCAGCCAGGTCCGCTGAGCTGACCGTGAGCGCAGGACCTTAGATTGTCGGGCTGGGGGGCCCACACCAAGTGGACCAGCTCTGAAAGGGCCCAGCAAGCCCCAGAAATGATAGGTCAAAAACCACATAGGTTTCTTTTCTTGGGCGCGCTCTGGGCCTTGGCTGCGCAGATGGTGAACATCACAAGTTTCCAAGAGGGGAAGTGCCTCTGAGAGTTTTTTCTCCTTAGTGCACCCTGTGGATTCTGCTCATGTGTCCCAGGGCAGCAGCACACTTTAGGAAATGCTGCTGCACCGGAATGCTATCTTTAGGCAGGAGGAAAGTGAGCCTGAAACCCCTCTGTGGGCTCATCGGAGGGCTGGTCCCGAGGGAGACCCTAAGGGCAGAGTTGATGAGGCTGGTGTGGGACCCGGGTGACCATGCGTGGTGTTGGGAAGGAGTTGATCGCAAGTCCTGCTTGGTGCGGAGTGAGCGTGAGGTGCCCGTGGGGCCTCAGGATGGGTCCAGGAAGCGGTGAGGACAGCTGCCGGGTAGGCTTGAGAGGGATGGTCAGCAGCTCAGCCGCGGGCTGTCAGGCGCACGTTACCCCACGTGCTTTGTGGGGTATTGGTCATTAACGGCCCCTTGAGTTGCTTTTGGGACCCTTTAAGTGACATTCAGAATGACTATCCTATTTTCAGCCCTTCTCTCTTCTCCCCTTGGACTTCTGGCTGGGTCCAGCTAACCTCATACTGAGGACATTGATGTGTTTCCCACTACTGCCCTGTCATCAGGTGGATGGGTTTCTCTTACACCCAAGTGGTGTCTCAGATCCCTGCGGGACATCGTGGGGATGTCCAGGCAGGACATGGCAAGCTGGATGCAGGCTAGAAATGCACGAGTGTTGTGCGCATGAAGGTGGAGGTTGAAGCCATGAGGGCGAATGGGGGTCATCTGGGTCCCCAGGGAGGGGCAGCAAGGCCAGCACCGAGGATGGAGCCTTGTTCCGGGGAGGGTTGTGCGGGAGGCTGGTGAGACCTGCGGCCCACTGTGTCCTGACCCTCTCCTCCCTCCCACCTGCAGTCTCCAGCCAAAAACGGCTCCAAGCCTGTCCACAGCAGCCAGCACCCTCAGTCCCCAGCTGTGCCGCCAAGCTACCCCTCCGGCCCCCCGCCCGCCGCCTCTGCCCTGAGCACCGCCCCTGGCAACAACGGGGCCCCTGCCCCGGCAGCACCCCCAAGCGCCCTGGGCGCCAAGGCCAGCCCAGCTCCCAGCCACAGCTCGGGCACGCCCGCCCCCTACGCCCAGGCTGTGGCCCCGCCGGCTCCCAGTGGGCCCAGCCCCGCGCAGCCCCGGCCCCCCAGCGTGCAGCCCGGCGGAGGCGGAGGCGGAGGCAAGCAGAACGGCGCCACCAGTAAGTGGGAGGCGGCCGGGCGGGGGGTCCTGGGGTGGCTGCCGCAGGCCCCTTTCAGCCCCTCTTCCTTCCCCCAGGTTACAGCTCAGTAGTGGCAGACAGCCCGGCAGAGGTGGCTCTCAGCAGCGGCGGGGGCAGCAGTGCCAACAGCCAGGCCCTGGGCCCCCCGTCTGGCCCCCACAACCCACCTCCCAGCACCTCGTGAGTGTCCGGCCTCGGGCAGGGCTGGGGACAGGCAGCCTTTGGCACGAGGAGGCACGGGGCCGCCCACACGGTTGCCACACGGTGCAGATACGGGCCCTGCCCTTGCCGGTGGGGACTTCCCCCAGAGCTCTCTCCCACCCGCTTAGGTGCTGAGTCCCGACTTCTTCCCAGCTGGGGTGTCGTACACGTGTGTCCCCCAGCTCTGCCCTAGAACATTCCTCGCCTAAGTGGGATTGTTCTCAGAGTCCCCCGGGGACCCGTTGGAACGCGCTGGCTCTCCCTTTCCTGCAGGAGTCTCGTGCCCTGCCGCCTCCTCCCTTTTCTGTGTCCTGCCCCAGGGCCTTCCTCACTCCATCAGGGGCTCAGCGTCCACTTCTTACAGTGAAGGGTCCCAGTCCGTCCTCTCCCCAGCCACCCCTCCAGATCGTAGGTCAGACCATTTCCCAGAAGAGTGGCCCAAGAGAGAGCGCAGTGTCCTCTGTGGGAATGGGGAAGACCCCCCGGATCCCTCCCCCACTCCTCCCCAGGTGCCTCACCCCTGGGCTCTAGGTGGGCTGCTCTGTTGTGTGGCTCTTTCCCACCCCTTCCTCCATGGGCCACTCCGTGTAAGAAGTGGTCCCAACCTGCTTCCTAGAGAACGTTTAGCCGTGTGGTCTCTGGGAGCGTCCTGAGAATGCTTGTTCCCATCTCCGCAGCCCTTCTTTACTGGGAAGTGATGGCAAGGGGTGGGGTTCTCCCTTCGCCCAGAGAGCTTCTCTCCTGTCTGCGTCCCTCAGCTGGCCCCATGTTCTGTGCATTCTCCCTTTTTGACTCCTTTCCCCGATCACCCAAGTCTTCTTGTCCGTCCCGCCTTTGGGGACCCTCCTCTGAGCCTCCAACCCTTTGTACCCCTCCCCAGGAAGGAACCCAATGCGACAGCCCCAACGGGGGCTGGGGGCGTGGCCCCAGGCTCAGGGAACAACTCGGGGGGACCCAGTCTCCTGGTGCCACTACCTGTGAACCCTCCCAGCTCCCCGACACCCAGCTTCAACGAGGCCAAGGCGGCCGGCGCCCTGCTCAATGGACCTCCACAGTTCAGCGCTGCCCCGGAGATCAAGGTGGGCCCCGCACATCCCCGGCGGGCCCCGAGCCTCTCTGTCCTGGCCCTGTGTCTCCACTGCAGATGGTCGCTGTCCCCTGGCTGCAGGTCTCTACCTGCCATCTCCACCTCCAGCCCTCGCTGTGTCGCTCTGGCTTCTCTCGCCTGGCACACCCGCGTGCTCACATCATCTCCGGGCTTCTCTGCCACCCCCACCTGGGTCTCTGTCCCTCTGGGTACTTTCCTTGCTCCTGATTGTACTTGCTTGCTCGCTCCCCGGGTGTCCACTGTCATCGCCCTCCTTCCAGCCCTCGGTCATTTCTCCCCATAAGACGTATTACTTCACATGACCCATCATCCAGAGCTCACCACCCTCTTGCCTTCTACAAAAACATTTTAAGTCCAGAAAACACTTGACGTCTGCTCTGAGCCACTTCGTGCTGGCTAAATGTAGCCACTTCCCACCTTCCGTACAAGGAGCAGAGTGGGACTGTATGGCGCGCATGTCTGGGTGGGGTGGGGGCCGGGGTGCTGTGGACCCACGTGCGTGCATCTGACTTAACCTGGGGAGGCAGCCCAGCAAGGTTTCTGAGGTGGAACCGGGGCCAGGTCGTGTGGGGTCACAGTGGCAGGCGGGGCTGACAGGGAGAAGTGCCCCCCCCCGGGCTGGAGTTCTACGGGGGGCTGATGCCAGAGCTGTAGTTAGAAGGCTGGGAAGCAGGGTTCAGCGGAGGCGAGAGGAACGGGGTGCAGGCTGGCTGCAGGGCCAGAGTCTGAAAGGGCAGCAGCAGGATGTAGGGTGACCATCTGGGGCAGTGTGTTTCGGGGTTTATTTTGGGTTTTTTTTTTTTTTGGCCGCGCCACACTTCTTGCAGGGTCTTAGTTCCCTGACCAGGGATTGAACCCAGGCCCTCCGCAGTGAAAGTGTGGAGTCCTAACCACTGGACCGCCAGGGAAGTCCCTGGGCCAGTGTATCTTAACTTCACTTCCGCAGGAGGCAGGGCGAGGAGGGCCCCACTGTCGGGGTCCAAGCCCTGCATTGCCTCCTGTACCTGCCTTCATCTGGAAAATGAAAGTAATTGCAGTCACTCCTCAAATATGATAGGATGCTTGTGCTTGGGAATAGTCCTCATAAAGCTCTCAGGAGAGTTTCTGGCTCCCAGTGAGCACCCAAAGTTTAGAAATACAACGGACGGGAAATTCAGTGTATGCATTTTTCTGGGGGAAAAAATGAGCCTTGAGATTCTCAAAACAGGTCCACAACATTTTTTTTTTTTAATTACTGGGTGAGTGGTGGAAAGGTTTTGAGTAGAAAAATGACAGAGAAAGACATGGCTGGAAAGGTCCCTCGGGGGCCTGTGAGACCAGGACGGTGTGGGGCGGCAGTGCAGGTGCCTCCGAGGGAAGAGAGACCTCGGTGACTGAAGGGCGTGGGGAGTGGGGTGGCGAGAGGAGTGGGAGGCGACTGCCAGTGGCCAGCGGTGGCCGGTGGCCGCGGAGAGGGGCAGGGGGTCTTAGTGATGCACGTGGGGCAGCCGGCAGTGGGCGGGCTCCTCCCAGCGTGTAGGCGTGCAGACAAGTGGGAGCTGCTGCTGGTTCTGTGACGGCGGTGGCGCTCGGGCTCTCCGCTGGTGTGTTACTGTCACAGGGCTGCACAGCAGGGTCCACACGTGCTAGGCGCCCTTCTGGCAGTGGACACTTGGTCGTGTCCAGGTTTTCTCCCCGCTGTTAGGTGCTGCAGTGGACGTGCTCTTACACTAACGGTCTTGGCTTAGCTGAAGCCCCACCAGAGCAGGCAAGGGTGCCGGGGCCCACGAGGACCCAGTGCCAGCCCTCGGCCCTGGACCTCAGGCCAGGCACCTCTTCCCTCCCCAGGCCCCTGAGCCTCTGAGCTCTTTGAAGTCCATGGCAGAGCGGGCAGCCATCAGCTCCGGCATCGAGGACCCCGTCCCCACGCTGCACCTGACTGAGCGAGGTGAGCTTCCGGGGGTGGGGCGGGCCGTCCAGGAGGGGCCGGATGCACCAGCCTCACCGCTCGCCGGCCCCACCTCTGCCCTCCCCGCAGACATCATCCTGAGCAGCACGTCAGCTCCCCCGGCCTCGGCCCAGCCGGCCCTGCAGCTGTCGGAGGTGAACATACCGCTGTCGCTGGGTGTGTGTCCCCTGGGGCCTGTGCCCCTCACCAAGGAGCAGCTCTACCAGCAGGCCATGGAAGAGGCCGCCTGGCACCACATGCCCCACCCCTCAGACTCTGAGCGTATCCGGTGAGGGGCCACGTGGGGTGGGTACGGGGCCCCTGAGTCCGAGGGAGCCTTGACCTGGGCTCCCCACAGGACGCAGGGACTGAGGTGGTAATGCTGGGTGATGTGGTGCCTGAGACGCTCCCTTTGATCCACAAGAGGAGAGAAGGCAGGGAGGCCGGGGGCTGCCACGCACCGGCACTGACCGTCCTGTCCCCCCACAGGCAGTACCTCCCCCGGAACCCCTGCCCGACGCCCCCCTACCACCACCAGATGCCGCCCCCGCACTCGGACACTGTGGAGTTCTACCAGCGGCTGTCGACCGAGACGCTCTTCTTCATCTTCTACTATCTGGAGGTACAGCAGGGCCCCCGGGGCAGCCTCGGGCCCCCCGGCTTCGCCGCCACCGCCGCCGTCCCCCCCCGGGCTGGAGGGGGGGGGGGGGGGCCCCCCCGCGGCCCCCGGGCCCCCCCCCCCCCCCCCCCCCCCACCCCCCCCCCCCCCCAGACCCCTCCCTGTCCCCACTCCAGTGCTGAGGTGTCAGGTCAGTTGAGGCTGAAGGCTGGGTTGGTCTAGCGCAGCACCCAGGGAGCCCAGCCCCACGGTCTTCCTGATGCCCATCCCGATGACTCTCACTGTGCCAGCACGCTGCTCGCTGGCACGTACTCGGGCCTCCCTGGGGACCCGCTAGGGAACTGTCCAACCTCTGCGTGACCCAGTGAGTCACCAGTGACCCCCTCCCTCATCCAGCCTTGAGAAAGTTTCTAAACTGCCTCCTCTCAGCTCTCATCACGATTAGTTTCTCTTCCTTCTCAAAGCTTCTCTGAAAACAATTTCCACCTCCCGTCTCATTTTCCTTCTCCTGACCAGCATTGGTACGTCTTGTGCCCCAGCCCATCCGTACTTGGATTGTCCGGCCCAACCTCGGTCTGTGGCGGGGCCTGGGGTCAGCCCTGTCGCCCTGCCCCGTCCACCTGGCCCCCACCCAGTTGCAAGGCCCCCTGATCCCCCGTTCCATGCTTCCTTCCTCAGGGCACTAAGGCACAGTACTTGGCAGCCAAGGCCCTAAAGAAGCAGTCATGGCGATTCCACACCAAGTACATGATGTGGTTCCAGAGGCACGAGGAGCCCAAGACCATCACTGACGAGTTCGAGCAGGTGAGGGCCCCTTCCTGTGCCCCGTCCACTCTGGTCCCGCTGGCTGAGTCCAGGTAGAGTCCCCACTCCACACGCAGACTGGCAGCCCTGCTGCCTGCTCCCTTTGCCACCACCTTCAGCCAGCTCGGTCCCTCAGGCCATCTGCCTTGCCTGGGACACCGTCCTCTTCCTCACTGACCAGCCCGTGGTCACCCCAGAGGTCCAGAGGTCCCAGCCTCCATGTCCTTCCTCAGAGGAGCCTTCCCCAGGCACACACACAGCCTGTGCCCCCGCCCCTCCTCTGGCACGGTGGGGGGATGTGGTGTCTCCCACCCAAGACCATGGGCTGCACTGCACGGGGACCTTGACAGTCCCCAGCACCCAGCAGAGAGGGGCTCAGCAAACACGGATGGGGAAGCTCTTTTGTTCTCGTAATTGATTGATTGGGACCTCCCACTTGCAAAACACTCTGGAGCCAGACTACCTGGTTTGGAACCCAGCTCTAGCTGGTGACCGTGGACAATTCACTTGAACATCTGTCTCTATTTCCTTATCTGTAAAAACGGGGTAACAGCACCTACCTTTATGCAGTTGTTATGAGGATTAAATGAGTTAATAACGTGTAAGTACTAAAGTGCCTGCTATGTAGTGTCATGGGCGTACTGTACTTTATTTCAACTTTCAGTTGCTATGTTCCACAGTGGTTTTTTTCCACCAAATCTTTACCTGATGCCAAGCACTGAACAAGGGTCTTGTCCTCAGGGAACTCAGTCTCCTCCCCTCCATTCCTTCAGGTTCTTTGAAGCATTTCCACCATTCATTCAGAACCCGGCCCCATTCCCACTGTGTCTTCTTGGACACTAACTACAGACATCCTGTCCCCTCCCGGTTTGGTCCAAAGTAATCCTCTAAGTTAGTGTATTTCCAGGCATCAGTCCTTCAGAAGTTCCCACACCACCGCTGTTGCCAGTAAAACGTCTGTCCTGGCAGCATGCCTGGACGTATGTAGACTCCAAGCCTGTTCCATGGCCTCGGGTTTTGTGAAGACTAAACCCTAGGACATACATCACGTACTCAGCACGCGATCAGTGCTTGGAAAGCCAAAGCCATCGAGAGAAGCAATAGGATGTTTGGCACACGTGCCCGGGGTCGAGGCCCAGCTCTGGCATGTGACCTCCCTGCGCCTCCCTCTGCTTCCTCTGAAGCAGGAGTGATAACGTTTCCCACCTGAGAAGAGCCTTGTGAGGGTGGAGTGAGATGGCGTGTGCATGCAGGGCAGTTGGCCTGGTGCCTGGCTCCTCCATGGCCCTAAGACCTGTCCCTCTGTCGGTCTGACCCAGATCCCCGACCACCTCGTCCACTCACTGACCGCCTTCTCCCCCGGCCAGGGCACCTACATCTACTTTGACTACGAGAAGTGGGGCCAGCGGAAGAAGGAAGGCTTCACCTTTGAGTACCGCTACCTGGAGGACCGGGACCTCCAGTGACACCGGCCCCTCCCTCCACCCTTCCCTCCCCCCGCATGCTGATCCCCCTGCCCAGGTGAGGGCCCTGCCCTGGAAGACTGGGGGGAGGCCCCAGGCCATAGGGCAGCCCCCTCCCCCAGGAAGCAGGGAGGGGGCTGGGAGGCTTTCTCTTTCTCTCAGCCCCACCCTGGGGGCCCGGGGGCGAGGGCTGCCCCCTCCTCCCCTCCCCAGTGAGGGACATTTTTTGGTAAACCTATTTTCATTTTGGAAAATATTTATGAATAAATAGTTTTATATGACGGCTGGCAGCAGCGGCCTCTCCTGTACCCCCTGAGTCAGTGAGCCAGGGGGCGTTCCTGCTGGCGGGGGCGCCGGGCCAGCTGGGGGTTGAACTGGGAGTTGTACCGCCTCCGCCGATCGTCCACCTCTTCTGGCTGATCCTCCTGGGCTGCCGTGCCTCCAATCCGGGCCAGCAGGGCCTGTGCCCGAGCCCTCTCGGCCGCTTCCCGCTGGAGACGTTCAGCTCGAAGCTGGTCCAGGGACGGGGGTCTGGGAGGAGATGAGAGTCAGTTCAGGAAGCTGGTAGTCCCAGGAGGCCCCGCCCTCCCCCATTGTCCTCTGGGAGGGAGCTGCCACCTGGGAGGGAAGCAGACTGGTGCTGGGACCCTGAAGCTGGCCTCACCACCTCTACAGGTGGGTGCCCCTCCACCACTAAGCGGCTGTATGGCACTGAGCACAACCTGGCCCTCCCCATTCCCTCATCTGTGGGAGAAAGGAGACGCGTCGGTATACCCGATCTACACTCAGGGGTCTGCATCCTAGGGACACAAACCTGCTTTTACTCTAGCCCCGTGGTTCTCACACTCTGGTCTCAAAAACTGAACCTCAGAGAGCTTTGTTTCAGTGGATTTTATCTGTCAATATCTTGCATATACAAAATGAGAAATCTTAACACAAGCGAATGTTCCACCCGCCACATCAGTGGTGTCGTCTCATATGTAGCCTCTGGGGACCCCAAGAACAAGAGTTAAAAAGTTAAATGATGTTATGAAAATAGGCTTGACTTCGCAGACCCCATGAAGGGGTGTCAGGACCCCCGGGGTCCCTGGACCGCGTGTTGAGAACACGTATCTAGACCCCAGAGCCCTCCCGTCCCAACCAGAGAGAGCTTCCATGGTGCCCGCATGGCCATGGCCAACCCCCAAGGCCCAGGCTCCTTACTCTTTGGGTCGTTTCTCAAGTCCCTCCTTTTCCTTTCTGCTGTGACTGCCATTGTCACCACTGTGCTTTCTCTTCTTCCCCAAATGTTTCTGCATCTCCCCCAGAGGGTCCAGGCGGTTCTTGATCTTCTCATCTGGTCCTGGACCAGACGGGGGGCCGCCCCGACTTGGGGGGAGCTGGTACCAAGGGAGCTGAGTCTGGGCTTCCGCTGCACTCTGGCCCAGGTACGTCAGGATGCCCAGAGCCTTCTCTTGCCTCTCCTGAGGAAGACAAAATGTGGAAGTGAGAATGTCAAGTGTGTCTCCCCTTGGGGAACCCAGGGACACCCAAGGTTCCCGAGGCAGGACCAGACATTGAGCCCACAGGCCTGTCATGAGCCAACTCTGCCAGGTGCTGGGGACACACAGACCAGTACGTGTGGGGCTCCTGCTCCGGGGGCACAATGGCAGCTTCAGAAACAAAAAGCACAGGAAGGAGGGGACAGGGTGGAGCTGCTTTAGGTTAGGGTTCAAAGGCAGGCATCTTTGGGGAGACAACTGAAGAAAAACCTGAGAGAAGCAAGCAAGGAAGAGGAGTGACTGAGGCGGGGAGGGAGGGGGGAGGAGGCAAATTCAGAGTTTGATGGGAAGTCCCTGAGAGCAGGTGACTGACAGGATCTGATTTACATTTAAAAGCCCCTTAACACTTCCCAAATATCTATAGGCTCTGGACAGCAGGTTAGAGACCTGAGAAGTCTGTGCCTAGCTGCCGGCAATAACCAACACCTCTTAAGTGCTATGTTTTGGTACGGTTCTGAGTTCCCTACATTAGCTTGTTTAATCCCCACCATATCCCTAAACACTCCTTAGTCACACCTGACGGGCAAGGTGCTCCCCTTCCTCCAGCTCCATCCATGACTCTGACGAAGAGGGCAAGACCGACTTACTTTCTCTCGTCGCTTCTCTTCCTCGTACTCTTTATTGCCTCTGCTCACCCCCTTCCCTTCTTCCAGCAGCTCTCGAAACAGATCCACAGGGCCAGAACTGCTTGGGGCTCCTGCTGCTGCTGCTTCAGCCGCAGGTAGTGAGTTCTGATGCCTGGCTTTCTTCCGTAGGAATTCTGTGCGGGCCTGGGGGAAAAGTAAGGTATAGGCAGAACATTCAGAACCTAGATGTGACTCAAGGAACTGTGAGCCTGGTGCCGACCACAGAAAACCGCAGGCCGTGGTGCTGGGGGCTGTAAAGGAAGGGAGCAGGGGCACTGGGAGCCCAGAAGAGGCACCTATCCCAGCCTGCGGAGAGGGTGGGGGAATGAGGCAACGCCTGGGTTTGTAAGCTACCTTTCAAACAGTAAACCAGGGGGGTTCCCAATCTCGAGTGACACAGTAAAAACAGCTACGAAGGCAGCCAATTCGTGTATTAGGACAGGTGATCTGAATTCCAGGCAGGGCTCCATGTCACTATCCCCAGTTGATTTGCAATTTCTACTGGTAAATGTGAATTTTAAAAACCCTGACTACCTCCCAGCCAGTGTTGACAATCAGATTAGACAAAGGACAGGAAGCTAGGTGTAAACCAAACAGGTTAGGAGTTATAAAGAGAGCCTCTAGTGTTTGTGTGTGGGCAGCGGTGCAGGCAAAAGGCTCGCCCGACAGAGCGGAACTGGCTTGTTCCACTGTCATTTCGCTGTGTCTTCCTCTCTGAAGCCATCTCACTTCTCTGCACAATGGAAATGACAGCCTCTCTAAGAACGAACAGTGCTTGAGAGATTTGGCAAGTCAAGCGCTCTGCACGGGGCGAGCATAGAGTATGCGCTTACTAAACAGGGAATTTGTGCAGGTAAACTAAAAAGTGGTCCGAGTTTCCTTGAATTGTCCAGGGCTTCGTTTATTCATGAGCTCCTACTCTAGGCGTGGGGAGAACCAAGACCAGGGAGAGCTCGAGGTGGGATACGCAAGAGACCGCACACGCTTCCAGGGAGCCCGGCCCCTAATTCCGCACGGTGTGCATTGCGCCTGCGCGCCGCCCCACTTCCGGTCCCTCCCGAGGCGCCTGGGTGCTTCGCCCGGCCGGACTGGGAGCTTACCTCTTGCTGAGCGAGCAGCACCCTCCGCTCACGCTCTTTCTCCTCCTCCCGGGCTTGGGCCTCGTCACGCCGCACGCGGGCGACATTGTCCTTGTTCCGGACGTGCCAGCTCTTCTTGGGTAAGATATTCATGGCGCCCTAGCTGTCCACGGACTGGCAGGCCCGCCTTCTAGCACTTCAGATTGGCGAGAGGATGGCCCTTCCCTATCTCGGCCATGGATTGGTCCTGGACTATTTGGCACGCCCCTCTGGGTCTGTAGCGAAAGTTGATTGGCTGAGACGCCCACCTCCCGTTGCCCGGAATTGCGCGTGCTGTCGCCTAGCGACCGCCTCTTATCAAGAGTCTGAGTCAATCACAAGTGTCCCCGCCCGGACGCTACTGAACGCGGCCTCTGATTGGCTGGCACTCCCGCCAGGTCCTCTCGCGGAAGAGCCCGCCGCGCCGACCCACAGGTAAACACATTTGATTGGCTTATGTCCCGCTGATGCCTTGCCCCGCCTTCTGGACGCGAGTTTCAAAAAGCACTCAGCAGCCTCAGCTGTGTTTATTGGTACTAGAAAGAAGTTCACTGGAGAGTCAGGGACTTAGCAGTGAATCCCAGGGCTGGAAAAGCATGGAGTCTTCTCCAGTTCGCTTATTTTCCAAATGATGTGGCCGAGGCTTACAAAGGATCTGAGGGCAGGTCTGGGTCTGAAAGTGGGAGGTCACCCTGAGCCAGGCAGGAGAGGTCAAAGAGCTCTGTTGGCCGAGCTCAGCGCCACAGCGCGCTGTGCCAGGAAGACTTTATTCTGCGCCTCCTGAGGTAAAGGGTAAAGAGAGGTGGAAATAAGACAGATCTTCTCTCCACCCGTGTCCCTTTCCATATTCCCCAGGACCCCTTCCCAGGGACCGGGCCTGGCTCACCGTCTCTATCTGGCGTTTGAGTTCAGAGATGAGGCGTCCATATGAGTTAGCCAGGGCCACGGTATACGCCATCAGGATGCTAGAAGAGACGGAATGGAAGCTACTCCCCAAACGCCCTTAGAATATCTTCAACGTAGGGCTCTTCAGTAATCAGGAGTCTGGACCTCCTCCTTCAGACTCAAGAAGTCTAGTATCCCAGCCCCCTCCTTTCCTCAGACCCAAGAGTCTGGGCCCCCAGCCCCCTTCTCTCTTGGAAGCAGGCAGCGAGACCCCAGGTCAGACATTCAAACTCAGACCCAGGAGTCTAGGCCTCTCACCTGGAGATCAGCAGAAGGGGCACAGCAAAAGCCTGGGTCCCCAGGAAGAAGAGAAATTTCTGGGCAGTCTGAGGGAGCTTGCAAATAGACTCGGGGATCTCGGCCCAGATGGACGACTGCCCCCGGAATGGACCACACAGCTTAGAAGGTGGGATCCTGAAGTCAAAGACAGGCAGAGCTCAAGGATGGCCAAAAGTCAGAACCCTGGAGGAAGGAGGAGGGAGGGAGGGAGAGAGAGGCAGGTGCCTCTCACACTTACAGGAATATGCTATAAAGCACAGGAACGGTGGAGATGGCCAGACCCAGGAGAAGGACCAGGGGGAAGAAGAAGTTCACAGTGGAGGCCCGAAAGGTGCGGGAGGCCGGGGAGCAGGTGGAGAAGAGGGTGATCTGGTGGGGGGGGGATGAGGGAATCTGAGCCCCAGACTCTCCTTCTCCACCATCCAGGAGCCCTGGTCCCTGGCCACTTCTCCTCAGTCAGGATCCAGGAGCCCCAGTTCTTTTCCACTATCAGACACAGGAGTCCGGGTCCCCCCTTCCCTCAGACCTAAAAGTTGGGATGCCCTGGACCCCTCCTTCTCCCACATCCAGGAATCTGTCCTCCAGACCCATCGTCCGTCAGGATCTAGTAGTCCACGACCCTGGCATCCTCCTCCGCCAGGACCCAGTAGTCACATCCCTTAGTCCCCTCCTCCCCCCAGGACCCAGAAGCCCAAGCCCCAATACCTCCCGCTTCAGACCCAAGGGTGCTCCCCACCCCTCACCTTCTTCAAATAGAAAAGCAGCAGGAACT